CATACCATTCAGTGTGTCATTATAACAAAGGCAAAGTCACCTATTATTCAATCACTTTTTTATTGAGACTAAGTGCATTATGAAAGCACATATGAGAGAATCGAGTTTTGTTTAATGTGCATTCGACAGACTATAGTCTAGAACTGCTAAATCTAAAGGATTCAGTCGAATTTGCTCACCCAATTGGAGCCAGGAAATCTTATAAATAGTTTTGTAGAGCAAGGTGCAATGTATCGAATGGTATATAAGAAACAACGTTATCATTAGAAGTTTAATGTGTTGTGGGTCGATACATTGGTTCTTATGTTTGGAAGATATTATACGAATCTATAGACATTGTGGTCTCTAGAATATACTAAGATGAGCTTATGCAGTATTTTTCAAACTGAATTCAGTACAGGTTCTAAGTGCTTTTCAATATTCGATACCCATTAGTTTCCATCATTGCTTTCTTGATGCTTAAAAATATTCATTTACCATCCGTCTAGAGTATTTGTTGATTATGAGACATTTTTGTGTACTCAACCTTGTATTACAGAAATAAGGTAATATCAACGTGAAAATTTCTCAAAAACTGCCACTATAGAGCTCCAATGTTTCACTGTTAAATTTTTCAGATAGAACAAGAACCCATTGTCGAACAATTAGATTAGCTTATCAAAAAAGCCTATTTGAATATTCAATGGAGACAATGTATTGACAATTTTTTAACAATACTGTAAAGTTGTTAGAAATATTTTGTTGTGTCAACATTTAAGGCTAGACTCTTGATTAGCTAATACGAATATGATCTTTAAAAACCAAAAAGTATGTTTGACTTCTGGGTCTCTGGAGAGGAGGTACAACGATATGGTTGCAAGAAGGATATCTGATATTTGTACTATTTCTTTTTTAAGTTTTGACTCCGAGCAACCATACTAAATAAACATCTAGCATATTATAACTTTAGGAAAACTTGATTTTTTAATATATTATTCGTCGCATCACGAGTTTCTCCACAAGACTATGCATATATCGTATCCTAATTTAAGATAGGTCACTAAATTCAGGGATGGTCCTTTTGAGTCTTTTTCGCATAATATTCACCGAATTTCGATCAGAAAAATGACCACTAGATGCAAATTAATAGCATATTCTGAATCAGCATCGAAAACTGTACTGATCTATGTGTATATCAGACATTGTTTTTATTCATCGGAAAAATTCCGTCTTGCTTCTCCCAGGGTTAGTCCAAAAAGGAATTTTAGCAGTGGCAAGCAAGTTCTAAGGTTGTAAAATGGTAGTAGAATACAAACTGACAGATATCTAAACAATTAAAGCAGTGTTTTGATGAAGTTAATTTTGTGGCTCAACTCTGAGGAGGGGTATGGGAAATTTTTGCGATGAAGAAATAATTCATATTAGAAGAGAACTTACATATAAAAAAAAAACTTGGTTAAAAAGTCAGAAATTTTTCGATAGCAAAACAGCAAATTTGTTTTTGGAAGCGCTACAAGAAAATTTCTGATTTTATTTGACGTAGCCTTTCTAATGAGATGTTGCCCGATCTGAACGGACAATACGATGCCCAATGTACAGGCCAAATAATGAAACTAACTAATAATGTCTTCTGAAATCTGGTTTCTGTTTTATCGCCTATAACTCTGTGTAATAAAATCTCAGTAACCTAAATTTGTTTTCGTAAACTTAATGTTCAATAAGGACTCAATTGATGTAAAAAAATTATATGTTAATTTTTGATCATAAAATTAACTTTCTCGATGTACTCACGAAATCTATAGACTATCATCGAGAATAGAGGAGTTCTAGGCAGCATTGTTATCTTTCTATTATTAACTTTGTCTTAAAATTATACTTAATTTAACAGTTATATGCCAATAATAATATTCATAGTAAAGAGAAGATTCTCTTACATTAAAGTTTTAATCTACTTACTTGTTGCTGGAGCACTAGTAGTAGTAAGTACTGTTGATGTATTTGTTACAGGAACAAGAGTAACTCTTGTTGCTCCAGATGCAATCACTGTATATGAACCTGTTACATTTTCAGCGTAGGTTGTTGCAACTAATGTATAGACAGTATTTGGTTGTAGATACAATGTGAATTGAAATTGTGCATTAGAACCAGTATCATCATCTTCTACCAAAAAATTCAACCTTGTTGAAGACGGCAAGAAATTGTTGACATACAAATAACCATATGTATCAATAGAAGAACTACTTTTGAATCTATAGTAACCAGCTGTTGAAACATTTACTTGATAGGTTTCATAATAATAGTTTGCAGTTCTTCCTCCATAACGTAAAAATTTTCGACTATTTGTTGTCCATGTCGATGAATAGGTGGTATTGACCCCAGATACATTTACTAATTTGTAGAATTAAAAAAAAAGAAGATTTCAAACTCTTCATATTTTCAACGCAGAAAAATTAAGATTTCCCTTCGAAAATATTTTATTGTGGTAGACGTAGGTGTAGGGTGTGACAATGAAGAAGAAATGATGGTATGATCAATTCTTACGACAATCTAGAGAAAATCGAGCCAGATTACATTTCATTTGCACTGGCACAGAAAACAGTAAATATAATTTTAGGTTTCGTTCGTCGAATCTAGTATCACTTTAAGCCTCACCCTTGTTCCATCAAAAAATGACTTTGGTTCAAGAAGGTTCAAATCATAGAAAAATTCCCTAATATGCTGAGACTATTGTCAAAAGGATACGAAAAACGTATTCAGCTCTATATCATGATGCTTTTAGAAGATATTCAACAGATAAAAGTTAAAAATAACTCATTTCACTATACGAATTTCTCTGTACGTCATCATTATGTAGACTTGAATGTTTTGTTTGATTGAAATAACAGAGCAGGACAAAACCCTTGTTTTTAATTCTTACTTTTCGAGCGAAGAAAATTTCAAGGTCTCAATAAATGATGCTCTAATAATAAAAATACTCTGTCATGTACTAGTAACAAAATTAATTCAAACAGCGAGTACTGCACCTTGACATGCTCTTTCTATCAAAAAATTAATTAATGGCTATGATGATTTTCCTTCAAGAACTCTAAGATGCTCATTCAAAAACACAAACAAGAAAAATCGAAAACTATTTTTCGATTTTGCATCAGTTTTCAATTAGAAAGTGGCGAAAATCACTAAATGTTGCTGGAGAAAAAAGTTATAACAAAAGTCATATCATTGTTAGAAGAATATATTTGAGTTATCTTCCTATACACTTATCTTAATTTTTATTTTTTTGACGCAAACTGACCTTTTTGAGGAGAGGCAGGGCAACTTAATCTGCTATTAGGGAGCTGTGAGTAAATGATTTTTTAGATCTGACCAAAAAGAAATTACAAAATTTGAACCTGAGCCTAAAAATGAATATAATTTTGGATCTCTCTTATATCCACAAATCAGATTCCAACACTCTGTTTGTTTCTACTTATTTTCGGTGTAGCGCATAGACTAGTAGATTTTCAGAACCTTCTGATGAAGTGTAATGCTGATTATAACTTACGATAACAAGAAAAGATTCGTTCATCTACTCGGATATCAAGCTTCACTCTGTTTCATCCAGGATAACAATCAAAACAATTTCTCTAGCATAGTACAACGAACGACAAAATATGGAGCAGAGGGACAGAAGCAACAACATAACACACGAACCATGGATAGCAGATGGACGGTAACATGTTAGAGAGAAGAAGAGAACGCAGATCAAAGTATATAATAGTCAAGAAATAGTTTAAATGAGGAACCGTACAATTTGTAAGGTGTCCAGCTGGTATTTTAACTATTGGTTATTCATTCCTGAAAATTTCGGCTTATATGATCTATTTTATGTGATGAATCTATTGAGAGACGGCCTCTTGAGACTTAAAAAACTGACTGTTTAGAAAAATTCAACCTTATACTTCTGTCCATGTGATAAGAACCGCGGTTAGGCTCTCCGTTAACCGACAAAAATAACCTGACAGCAAGCGATCAGACAGATTTTATTTCGTTTAACTGGGCGTTTAACCGCGGTTAATCAACCATCGATTTTCAAAAGTTTTATATCACATGGGTGTACTTTTTTATATTTCAAAAAGCAAACGCTATTCTTCAGAAATTAACAAAAAAATGGCAATTTTCAATGAAAATTTATCGTTTAACTCTTAATCTATTAAACTACATAATTGTTTTACGTCTACAAATTTTTGAGTGACAAAGAAATCAGAAAACGAATTTCTTACATGGAGGTGGTGTTGTCGTTGGTGGTAGTGTCATACCACTTGCCGTACAATTGTAAAAACGTCGAAGTGCTTGTACATCATACACACTTAAATTACTCCGTTGTCCCATAGTAACATTTGCTTGATTCGCTACAATAGTTGGCAAACCATTTGTAGAAAATGCAGTCGAACTATAATGCATTAATGATCTGTAATCATACGGTGTATTATAAGTATTCACTGAATTATTATCAAATCTGTCAAAATTATATGACATGCCTGAATGAATAGAACAAACGCTTATGAATAATTTTAGTTTGAAATTGTTAATGTTACAAAAACCGTAACCTATGGTGCTCAATCAATTGCTTTTCATTTCGATTTCACTTACGTATCTATAGATGTGTGGTAGTTCTCGATCAAAAACTGATTATGGAAACTTCTTCTTATCTGATTGATAGAACAACTACTGAGTACAATCATTAGAGTACCACTATCAATAGAACTAGATCAATTGCAGAGAATACATTATAGAGACCAAGATCCAAAAAAACCCAGTGGCAGGAAATAGGTTTCAGAACAAGAACTGCTTTATAGAACTGTGAACTATCATAGATATATATGCATATACAAAGCAGTGAGTTATTTATGCCATCAAACCGCACTTTGATAGCTCATATCGTCATTGTGATATTCCATTTTTAATAGGACATTCTTTTCCTTCAAACCCAAGTCAAAATACCGCACGATCCTCGTGTTACAGGTACCACTAGTAGTTAAAGTTCATCAATTGATATCCTTTACGAGATCAACCTTCTGGAGACTGAAGAGATAAGTATCGATAAGGCGTGTTTTTGTGTTTAAAATACTTTTTACATATTTAGAATCAGCTCTAAACTCTGCAGATTTTTTCTATCGAAAAACACCTTTGACTTTGTACCTGTAGTTTAGCGTCTGTGGGAGAAATCAGAGCTAGTAGCAAAATAAGCAGATTTTACGGAGAGGACAAATTAACAATAAAATATTTACGACGAGGACATTGCACTAGTAGCGGATCCGACAAGGTGACTAAGTTGCTTCCGTCAGGAAGCTTTTTGAAAAACACAATTTTTTCGTCTGAAGCAGCTCAAAAACCCTTAGGAGAAGAGGCTCAGTCTCCCACACCTAGAATTCTGATTCCGCCATTATATAATATTTCCGTGCTTTCCCTTGGTGGCTGCGTCACTACACAAAACTATCGAAGAAATCTGTTTTTTTTTCTCAAGTATTTTTCATCAATATATCATCATATGCGGAGTATGATGCTGATTCTAAATATCAGGGAGAACTTTGAAAAAATGGAGTTTTCACTGAGAAAGATCTGTTCCACTCTAGAAAGCTAATAGAGGACTGTTTTTAGTTTCCAACGATAAGGAATGACACTATAAAGTCTAAAATGCATGTTATTGTATGTTAATTTGCTTTTTCAATCAGAAACATGTAAAACAACTGTTAGCGAAATGCGAAAAACTCGTCTGTAATATCGAACTATGATCTATACAAATTCACTTTTGAGTAAAATGTGTATGGAATTTGGAATCAGCATTTAAAAATACATTTGGTAACATTGATTTTGTAAAAAAAATTATTTTTTTAAAACTGAACTTTTACTTTCTCTCACCTCGTTTTTCCCGTAAATTCACCTGTACTTCTCCTTAGCCAAGGTTCGATGAGAAATGTTCTTTTTGACAGAATCCATATTACTAGACTAGCCGGGCTCCCTCCAAATGGCACGGTCCTTTTTTAAACTGTGTTTTGACTATTATAGACATTAATGTGCGTTCTCTCCTTCTGTGTAACATTTATGCTTTCTTTGCATGAGACAGAGTGAGGGTAGATGTCATAGTAGGAGAATGAATCGCTTCTCGTTACCGTAGTCTATAATCAGCCTCACATGCTACCAGACGGTTCCGAAAGTCTGATAGTCTATACCGTACATCGAAAATAAGCAGGAAAAAAAAGTGCTCAAATCTCATTGGCTGATAGTAAGAGCTGCCATCGTCGTCTGTAGATTATCTACCAGAAATGTATGAGTTCCACAGAGAAAAAGCGAAAAAAAACAGTGATGAATTCTAATTAATTTTTTCTGTCAGTCAATGAGAGAGGCACCAGACAGACACTTGATGTTACATACATTGATTGATTCTAACGTTTGCAGTTTTTAAGCATGTTTTCACATGCTTTTAATTACTCTTGAGGGATATTCGAAGAGAGTATGAAAAGCTATATCGGCTAATCACCTTGTAGAACAAGACCAACTTGCCTCAAAGCGTCATTTTTTTGAGTGCTTCATGCTCAAACTGTGCAGTATGAACCGCCTTGTTTTCAGATGAGTCTGATTGTAAAAGCACATTCGAATACGATAACTTGCATTTTAGACTTTGCATTTCTCAGCGAAAACTGAATTTTTTCCAAACTTCGTCGAGAAATATAAAATCAGCGTCGAATTGCGCATATGATGATAAATCAATCAAAAGCATTTGAAAAAAAATTGTTTCGATGGTCCTAAGATTTCCAACTAGAAAACCCGCTTTAGTCTAAGTCTGAAAATTTATATTGAGCTCGTATAAATCGAAAGAAAATTTTGTTTGAGCTGATAATATTTCATGAATTTGTATAAATTTTCGTTTGTTTTCTTCGAGAATCAGCAAATTTATGTGTCAAAAACAGGGACACATTTATGGTTTATAAAATGCGACTGTTTGCTCATAAGTTTTTTATTAAATCGGCAAGTTCTTTCTTTTTTTCTGATTTTCATGTACTTAATTTAGTAACAAGTAAAGTATTATATGTAATTAAATGCTTATTAAATAAAATAATTTATACAAAACATCTGTAACTCATACCTCTAATTTTCTATTAGGAACTGTTGATTAGTAGTAGGAACTGTCAGTAATTTAATTATTATTTTGTCACTATCTACTCGTTTACAGAATATTAGAGTGAACTACTCATCGAATAGAAGAATTTAAAAAAAAGTATATCTTATTTTCTGAGCGACAATCACATTCGAATTAAAATCTTTCATTGAAGGGTCTGAGGGTATGGTTTAAATTTGAAGCAACAACTAATTAATCAATCAGCTTCGGATTCAACACTGTGATTGATCATATCCCGAAATTCTCGACTCTGACTGGCTCTATTCTTAACGGACACTAAAAGGCCAAAATCGTTTTACGACAGAGAAAACTTTCAGAATTTAATATCAATTCTGAATAAACAAAAAAAAAATACTTTGAATGAAAAAGACTCGCCTTATCGATACCTGTCCTTTCAGCCTTCAGAAGCTGATTACTTAAAAGACATTGATTGATGCATTTTAAATACTAGCGACCCCTGTAACTCGAGCATAGAGCAATATCTTGATCTGAGTTTGAAGGAAATTGATCTCATGTTAAAGATAGAACATCTTAATGACGAATTGAGCTATTAAAGTGCAGTTAATAGCAAAAAAACTAACTTATTGGTGTATGCATATAAGTGAAATAGACACTAAAACCAAATTGCTTGAGCAGCATAGGTCACAGCTTATACTAATAAGAAACATTACAATACCAGTTTGTATATTAGCCCAATTAATTGTAACATATTGATCACGATCTGGTCTTGATTGTTCATGTTCAAAACCTAATGATAGAAAGAAAAAGGAAACATTATTTTTAATAGTTTATAAAAAAAAAATATCGATTGCTATGGGTAGTCATTTCATTCAAGTGATATCAACATATTGTCAACATTATTTACAACATCGCACAAATCCCACTTTTTTTTCACAACTTTTATAAACACGAGGTAGTTACACTCCTATTGTAGGATTGTGACTGCAGATATAGGTATGACTTTGCTCTAAGTCCATACCCATACCCCACTGTTGTGGAGAATGTTTCCATTGGGTAAAAATCTGCTAAATTTCATCTTTCTTTTCATATTTCCTTGATAAAAGCCTTAAAATAAGTTCAAATTTCAATTCAAACAACATATTCCTAATCACATCAAAAAATATACCGAGTCATGTATATTTTATTAAACATTGTGTCTGATGAAGCAAGATGTCTGACGCCCTTCTCAACTCTATCATTAAAAATTTCTGTCAGTGGACTTCTCCCTACAAGGCGATTTTTCCAAGAAAAATACGTTTACTTTAAAAATAGGTAATTCAACGCAGGTTTTGCACTGCTACTGAATATGATGTTTAAATTGAGATTTGAACTTATTTTAAAGCATATATCAAGGAAATATGACCAGAAAAACGTATTTTTGAGGTTTCTTATCCATATGAACATTTGTCGCAACTTTTGAACTAAAGAAAATTCAATAGAAGAAACTTTTCAAAACTGAGTTGCAGAAAATGTTCTGTGTGATCGCTTTATTTGTTGAAGTATCTCGTTATAACTCTGTTACACGAAATGTCAGAAGCCGAAAAATTTGTTTATAAAATAACTCTGCTGACGAATACTCGATTGATTCGTGAAGTTTCTTTGAGAAGCTGAAATTTGAAACATAGTTAAAGTGTGCTAAAAATTAAACAAAAAAAAAATCGTTGATTGATCTCTTCTAATGCCCATTTCAAAAAAGAGGCGGGTGGGTATGTTTTGAATAACTTTTGAACAGATTCAGCTAGAGAGCTGTGGTTTTCACTATTCGAAAGAGAACATGAAGACGCGCCGAACCATATATGAAAACATTTTTTCTGACTGCTTTCCTAACAGTTTTACATAAAGCTTTTAGAAAAAACAGCATGCTTCTCATAGTCGCGATATTAATTTATTGGTTTCCAGAAGGGTAGTAGGATCACCAGATGAAGAGCTACAAAATTATATAAAAATTCTATTCCTAAACACTACCAGAAAGATATCTGAGCTATTGAAATGCAATTGACTATCCAATTTTTTCAACAAAATAATCGAAAAATTTAAGTTTTTCTAGTTTTTTTGGCGAAAAATCACTTTAAAACGTATGAGAAAAAAAAGGAACTTTTTGAAAACGTTTGACTAACACTGTTAGGAAAGTAGCTAGAAAAAATGTTTTCATAAACAGTTCGGCACGTCTTCATCTCCTCTTTCCAATGGTGAAAACCGCAGCTCTCTAGCTCAATCTGTTCAAAAGTTATTCAAAAAATACACACTCGCCTTTTTTTTTGACATGGGCATTAGTTACTGAGAAGCTAAAAAAACTGAATCAAAAATCTATTAGAACTTTTAGTAGAATCACACATCTATCGGATGATGTCAATATATCAAACAATATATATAGCATACTAACCTAATGCATGTAATAATTCGTGCATAATTGTTCCAACACCGAGACAACCAGAAACTTGCAATGTAACTGTACGATTTAAGTTCATGCCTGGATTTTGTCCGACCTAAAAAAGAGGAAATTCAAGTGGAAATTGTATAGAATTTTCTATTGTCATATATATTCTTAGAATACTTACATATGATGAACAGCCGTTTCCATTATAGAATATAATATAATATGGATCTGATAAGTTTCTTGGTCGAAACTGAACACAACGATAGTTATTCATAGCTACCGTATTTTCTAACATTCGCATTGCAGCAGTAATAATTAATTCTTGTTCATAACCTAAAAATGACGATTATCATGATTTTATTTTTAATCAAGAAAATATACGAACTATATCCTGTTGCAAATATATATGGAACAATTCCATTAGGCCATGCGACTCCAGCACCACGAAGTATTCCTGCACGCTAAATTTCGTTGAAAATAATTAACCAAGATGAATGTCATGAAAATAATAAGTCAAAAATAAACTTACCTCATTTGATCCACGATTAGTTGGAAATTCCATATCACCTTCAACGCGGTCACCTATAAAATGAAAAAGAAAAACAAATTGTAGGTATGAGACATGCTCGAATTTCCTCAAACGAAGTTGTCAGATTCTTATAGAGGAAAGAGTTTTTGACGAAAGTCGATCAAGAAAAAGTCTTACTCCATTGTCGAGATATTGAAATTTTTCTGAAGGCATTATCATCAGAAAAACACATTTTCATAATATTCATAACAAAGATACATTCATGTGACTTCAAAATTTTTTCTGTGAATGTACTTAAAGTTGATGTGGTTATTGTTGAAAAAATGGGTGCGCATGAGTGAACTGTTCATGAGTTTTAGAGACCTGCGATTTTCATCGTTAAAGAGAAGAAACCTCCAAAGTATATCGAAATTTGATTGATCAATTATGGATCAATCAGATGAATTCTTGGTAAAGATTATCGGAAACGATATTCTAAAGTTACTTTCCTTTTGATTTAGAATTTTAATAAGATTGTTCGATGGAAAAAAAAAATTTTTTCTTTCGATCTATGCAAGGTCCACACTCCTCGATTTCAGCCAATTGATCTGTTATTGCCAAGAAAGGTAACTACACTCAGGTAATTGATCATCTTGAAGTAAAGGGTGATATTTGTTTTTAGTTGTGAAATGATATCATACCCATATCTCAATAAAGCTAAAATTCTACGATCAGTCTCCATGTAACGAGAGTGTCAACATTTCGAAAATAATATAATATTGATCTCAGATCATTTCAAAAGTAAGCACAAATATCATCATTGGATTTTGGATGGTGAATTATCTCAGTATAACTATCATTCCTGGTGATAACAAGTAATTGGCTGAAATCAAGGGTCTCAAAAGAAGTCTTATTACTCGTGAATGGAACTAGCTAGGAATGTAAGACTTACATAAGTTGAAAGAGAAGGATGTGGGTGTTGCTAGCCTATTCATACACTCATACTCACGCCCTCAAACTAAGGATCGTAGAAATTCTCTTTTTTCAAAATTATTATTCATGATAAGCCACTGAATGATCAAAAATGAATTGTGTTGTGTACGAACTCTAGCGAAAAGTCTTACTGTAAAGCATAAAGTTATCGCTCCATAATGTATTTTCATGACAGATCGTGTTGTCTCTCGAACAAGTTTATTTTGAACTATTTTAAGAATTCCGTTCTACAGAGATTTAGAAATATTACTGCAAATAAACGGCTGCTTAGTTTCGTACTAATATTCTTCGTGCAGACAAGTGTTCAATTCGATTTTCTGAATAAAAAAGAAATCATTTCTCATTTTGTTGTGTAGGATGGTAGCAGTTACAGAAGATCATCTGTATCACTGATCTATGGTAGAGTAGTTCATCGATCAAGATATGCAACAACAAATGAGTTAGTATGATGAAATATTACCTCAGTTATTTATTCTACAAATCATCATTCTATAGTTTATTTTGTTCAAGGAGCATCACATTTTACTTTCTACAGATTAGACTATCGAATTTCGATATGAAACTATGTTTAATTGATTGCTCATGGTTATTTTTTCTTATCGCCAAAAGATTAGTGATCTTTTAGTAATTGATTTTGATCAATATTGTTGAAAAAAATAAGGAATATACAAATCTGAGTTAATCATATGATTGACAACTTACGATTGAGTTCCAGTTCGCTTTGCGTTAGCAAATTTTTCTTAAAAAAAACAAAAGAAATATAGCTGTAGCAAAATCAATTGATAAATCATGCTAACCTTTGACGTTGGAAGCTCATTGGTTTGACTAATGATGATGAAGCCAACTAACACAATAAGATATATGTTGATCATTGGTTATCTTGAATAACGTGTATGAACAATAATCGTTGTTTGAATATCTATGAAATGTGTACATATCATTCGCATTAGTAGTTCTATCATCACTGTTCTAACCGGATATCACGTTTTCGTGTGAATGACGGAATATCAATATCGAAACTTCCTCACTTTTGTTAACAGTGGTATACTCTTTGTATCGTCTGATCCATTCTTACAGACTCTGATTATTAAGGAAGACTTAATGAGTCGAGAGTGTGTGCTTCAAAAGCGACGGTGGAATTCCAATCGTTAACATAAATTTATGCCTTTTTCGCGTCACATTCGTTTAATTTTAATCAGCAAAATTTAGATTTGATCAAAGCTAATATCATATTCTAAATCAGCATCAAAAACTTAGTCGGCTTATGTGTATTTCAGACACTTCGTTTGTTCACCTAAAATTTCCCCATACTGTCCCTCAGGATTGGGGCGAAAATGGAATTTCACGAAAAAAGTCATTTGGACAGTGATAAACAATTTCTAAAGTTGTAAGATGATAATAGAACACAAATAGGTATATATTAATGTAATTAATGTTGTATTTTGGTGAAATTTGTTTTTCTGAACAAACGTTGAGAGATACGAAGAATTTGTTTGACCAAAAAACGTGTGAAATACACATAGGACGACTGAGTTTTTGGTGCTGCTTCAGAATATGATATTAGTTTTGACTAAATTGTCATTTTTTAAACGAAATTCAGTGAATAC